CATGCATGGTTCGCCTTTTCTCCTGAGCCTTGTGGTTTCACAACTAAGGTCATGTGATCTAATTTTTGGCGCCGAGAGATAGAGACGGTTACAGTTCGAATACTGTGATTGTTCAAGATGGACTCTGATTTTAGGATCTCTCAAGTTCTGAATTCTTAATCTTTTTCTGATAATTTTATGTCTATGTCTTGGTTTGTATCCACTTAAGCTGATTTTTTTGGCTTTCTCTCTTTCAGCGTGCAGAATCAAGTCCTTCGAGTAAGACGTTTCAAACGTCGATTGATTCAGAAAACATCAGCGATTAAGAACATTTACAAGTGATATCGGCATCTACAGAAAAGGGCAAATTGCCCAAGGATCTCTGTCTTACGGACGAAGCGACAGACCTGTCCATGTAAGTTCTTATAAATTGAACCACAGGCAGCTCAGGCACACGTCTCGAGAAAAAGCCAACGATTAATTCATGAACGCGTCGCGCGTTGTGTGACTTGGTGTTAAGTTACGAGAAGAACCGTGACGCGTTTATTAATTAATCGTTGGCTTTTTCTCGAGACGTGAGCTTGGGCCGCCTGTGATTAAACTTAGCAGGATGATGAAGAGTTCATTATCGATGTACTCTTTAGTAAAGGAGGAAAAATGTCGGGGAAAGCACCCACAAAAAATGGTGAGATTTACTATATTTTTATTGAAATACACTTTATATGTATTTACTTGCACTATACACAAAACAAAGTAAAACCAATGTATAAATCTGGTAAACTCAAAAATTAGTGAATTGATAGGATGTAATCAGACAGTTTAATTTTTTTAAAATAAATATTTACCTATATAGATTCCTCCTGGATGGCTTTCAAAATTCCAACTACCATCGAGGGTAAGAAACTTTTCTCTATTTTGTTTTTTAAGTCCACACGCAATCCATATTAATTCATGAATACTGTGCTAGAACTGAAGTGCATAGAGGTATGATTTCTTTTCTTGATAAGTACATATATATATAGTTTGGTGAAGGTACATTACTGATGATCATTGAACCATGATGGTGTTTTTTCTTTTTATGCATAATTTGTTAACATATGTGGAAACTTTGGAAAGTTACTGTTCTCCAACAACAAATTAATTTGCTCATTTATTTATTTTTTGTGCAGTTCTCTGCCTCAGTAGAGTTGAATATCCAGGAGGGATATCTCACCAGCAACTCAAAGCAGTCTGAGCAGCAGTAGATTGTAAAAAAAAATATTGCAGAGTATCCTTGTATCAGGCTGGCAAGATACTAATAGAATGAAAACTGAATGGATTGGTGTGTTTAAAAACCTTTTGTATTGAAAAGAGACTATTTTGTGGCACTGAATCTCTTGCCTTAAACTAAAAAGGTGTAGAATAATCACTCTGCATGAACTTTTAAGTTCATGACTTCTGTTCTTATGTGTTTGCCATCACATATGCATTGAATGAAGTTGTGACCATTTTGGAGGTATGAGTCCAAAGAAATGCCACTTTGGTACAAAAATGAACAGCTAAAATTACTAAGCCCATTTGCTTATGAAGTCCAGATACAAAGGTTCAAGTACCTTTAGGTTGTATTAAATTTTGCTTGTTTTTGTTCAGTTTTTTTTATTTGGCAATTGTTTTTTAAATCTCCTGTCGTCAAACCGTTAGATAAATATTACATGCAGAATAGCTGATTCTTTTCAGATGTTTTGGGAGTTGTGCATTTTTTTTTTAAATTTCCTGTCGTCAAACCATTAGATAATTATTGCACATGGAATAGCTGATTCTTTTCAGACATTTTAAGAGTTGTGCATTATTATTTTTTTTAATTGCTTGTTGTCAAGCCATTCGATAAATATTGCACATGGAACAGCTGATTCTTTTCAGATATTTTGGGAGTTGTGCATTATTTTCAAGCCTTGAAGGGAAGACAAATTACAAGAATTGAGCCAAATTTCCACTTCCATTTCTAGTGTTTTGGCTTATAGTTTTAGAAAAACATCTTATATAAATATATATATATATATATATATATATATATATCATCTAAGTAAATAAAATGAAATGAGAGGAAAGTGACCAACTAAAAATGGTGGACTAGCTGGCAATTTTTACAGGCACTTTTTGCACTTTGGCTTGTTTTTAATATGGTTGTAAAAATTTGTTTATATTACATAGGGTAGCTGATGTTGATTCAGCAATCGGAAATTATGTCCAGCACAAATTGCAATTGTTGGAGATCTCCAATACATCAATATCCTGTATATTAGAAATTTTTCTTGTGGGAGGTGACAAATTATAATTTGTCACCTCCCACAAGAAAAAATTCTTGATGCGCTCATTGAGTGCTAATAGTTCATTTTATATTTTCAATGTTTCTTATAATCAGTCAAAGGCAATTTTGACCTTTTTAGAGCAAGTGTTGCTTGAAATTGCAGGGCACAGGCAGACTCTTGTCACTATTTTTTATTCTGTTTTCAATGACTTGGCAAATGCCCGAGGTAGTACTTGCTGAAATTTTATATTTTGATCATATCTAAAGTAGCAATATGAGTGCATGTATTTTCACATCCACTGGTAGAATACTCAATGCTGCTCTAAGGTTCTTTGTTTTTCAGATGCACAAATCAAACAAGATTGGCTTGGGGTCAATTTGGCCCCATTGAAATAGGGCTGTTTTTGGCACCAATTTTTGGGGTAAATCAACCCAATTGTAAGGGCCAAATTGGACCATGTGAAAGGCCAATTTGGAAAATACTGGACCCTCATTAGAATTTAAAGGGGCTAAAACAGCCCCCAGAATTTCAGCCCTCCCACAAATGACCCCCTTAAAAGTAGCCAATTCAGCTCCAATTTGGGCCACTTCAGAAGTAGAGAGCTCTTTCCTCTCCATACTGATTTCCCCCCTTACTTTTCCCCCTCACATAATGAAAACACACCACATACTTTATCTTTCAAACACTCATTTATTTGGTTCTTGATATTGTTTATGTAAAAACCTTTCACATTGCATGATTTTACAGTATGTTATTAAGAATCTTAATTGTGATATAAAACAGACAAACTTTGAAACATCCTATGAAAGAATAGAAGAAACATACATATTTAACATTAATTCAACCATTTTCTGGAATAGATCTCTTCCCTTAATCAGTACACTTCTTAACAGTGCAAGCATTGCAAGAAATTACACCCAAGAGACACCTGTGAGTAAAGCTTCCCTTTTTAATGACTTAGCAAATGTGGTAATGTAAAGCTGCTTATAATTAAGACTGATTCAAAGTACAGAAAATTATCAAAATAGGACAGAAGCAACAAATGGTCCAGCTCCTGCATTAGAATTTAGATCTTGTTTGATTTCTGTGAATGAAAAACAAAGAGCCTTAGAGCAGCATAGATTATTCTTCCAGTGGATGTGAGAATACATGCACTCATATTGTTACTTAAGATATTATCAAAATACAAACTATCAACAAGTACTACCTCAGACATTTGCCAAGTCATTGAAAACAGAGGAAACAGCGACAAGAGTCTGCCTGTGTCCAATTTCAAGCAATGCTTGCTCTAAAAAAAGTCAAAATTGCCTTTGGCTGATCGTAAGAAACATTGAAAATATAAATGAGCCAAGTAACCCAATGAGAGCATCAAGAATTTTTTCCTGTGGGAAATGACAGATTACACTTCCCTCTGTCACTATATTCAGGAGATTGATGTATTGAAGATCTCCAACAATTAAAATTTGTGCTGGACATAATCTCTGATTGCTGAATCCACATCAGCTGCTCTATGCAATGAAAACAAGTTTTACAAACATATCAAAATCAAGCCAAAGTGCAAAAAGTGCCTGTAGCCAGTAAAAAAAAGAATATGTCTATATATAATGTTTTTCTAAAACTATACGCTAAAACACTAGATATGGAAGTGGAATTTTTGCTCAATGTGTGTAATTTGTCTCCCCTTCAAGGCTTGAAAAAATAATGCACAACTCCCAAAATATCTGAAAAGAATCAGCTATTCCATGTGCAATATTTATCTAATGGTTTGATGACAGGAAATTTTTAAAAAATTGCAAAATCAGAAAAACTAAACAAAAAGAAGGCAAAATTAAATACAACCCCAAAGTACTTGAACCT